CATGTATAATCTATGTACTAAATTTGAATGAAAACTGACAAAGCATGTCCAAAATACAACATTTTCAAAAAACAAGATGGCTGCTAGTCGGCCATTTTGAATCGAATCGCTAAACCACTGCATGTGCATATGTCCCACATAAAGTACTAGGCACATGCAAAGAATGAACAGAATCGGTCCAAGGGATTCTGAGATACGACTCCGGACGGACGGACGCACGGACGGACGAACGGACGCACAGACGCACGGACGGAGACCGAATTATAAGTCCCCGTTTTCGGACTTCGTCCGAACGAGGACTAACAAGTCATTTATCTAATTTTTCGCCAGTTTTTTAAAGTTGTTTTTTAAATATTTCAATTTCAATCTTTCCTGACGCCTAAAATAGTCTATTTAAGTTTTTATTCAAGAGAGTGTTCATTGTTACTAGCGTGAATGGGTAAGCTTCATTTCGTCAATGAGCTGCTATCACTGTAAACAATATTAAATTATTCTTCTAATGCTCAGTTTATCTTTTGAAAACAACTATTTTTTGATTTGAAAAAAAAAATCATGCCGTTTTCCCATCAAAATGCAAGCCAAAAGATCATACTACAACATCGGCAAATCTCTTCCGCGTTGCGTTCAATAACATTAACATATTTAAATGAGCTACGGTAATTTGAACACGTTGGTATCATCCAGCATTTTGATTGGTTAATTAGCGATTTGACCTATTAGGTCAACTTGTGCAAGATAAAGAACATGGTGGATACCCGACAGCATCGAGTATTTATATGCGACCAGAATCATTTGCTTATGATGAAACTAAGTTGAATTTTATTTGCATTTCATAACAATTTAATTTTTGTACGTTATTATAATCTCTACTGAGTAATAATCAACAATTGTGAAACGCAGCATGACCAGATTGCACGACAGTGATCATTTGTTGCTACGCAATGCAGTTGTGTTAGTTTTTATTTGAAACTTCGTTTAGAATATACCGGTACTTTCATTACCCCAAAACGTACAGACCAATATTCAAGTGAAACGCAGGATCAAATGCTGTTTGACTTAGTAAACGCACCCAAGAGTGATTAGTGACCCCCGGGGCTTAACAGTCGATCCTCAAGTTAATTTGGACTATGCTAGTCGATGAAGTCACTCGAGTATAGTACACAAGATGATTTTTTTATGAATAAATTAGCATAAATTATCGCTCAGGAGAAGTTTTAACTTCTATTCGTTTATAAACCCCCCCATTTTTCGTCAATTTGCCGGTTCCCGGGGGGGGGGGGGGATTGTTATACTCTGACAACTACGGTAGTGGCAAAAAGTCTGTCTGCTGCTGTGTCATCATCGTCCAGTGTCGCTGCTGCAAACGTTTTTGTGGATATAATTTCAATAATATTCAGCTGATCACTATCAAACTTATATATATATATATGGTTAATCTGTTGATATAGTTGGCCTGTATAGATTTGATCTTCCAAAAAGTGTACCAGTATATAGTGTCATTGCTTTGCAAGTGGAAGATAAAAGTTAATTTTTTTTTTTTACTTCTTTATTTTCCTCTTTTTTTCGAATGAAGAATTATATATTTTCATGTGATTTTTTTTTTCAAATTATTTGTTTTGCTTATCAGTAGAGGGCGCCCTTTAACGTTTTGTTCAATAACTTAATAATTTCTAATATTTTCAAAGAATTTAATAACAAGAACTGTTCTCTGACCAGTGGTGGTATCAAGTAGGGTAACACCATTGATCAAAATAGGAAGGGATGTGCAGTCATGATTTCTATGAATTTAACTAATCTTATCAGGTTGATTGGTCATGATAAATAAATTATTTACATTAGTGTTGATTTTGTTTCTGTCTTGCTGTTCATAATTGTAAGCCTGCTTTTGAATTCCTTTAAATTTTCAAAAAAAGAATCATTATAAGTAACATTTTTTTCTATACTCTAATTAGGTGATACAAAAATGACATTCCTCACTCTATACTGTGATCTTCCGACCAACTGTTGTGAACTTCTCTACCCCTTGTAGTTCATCTCTTGATCCTATGCTATGATCTGCCCACCCTTACATATACAGGGTAAGCCATATGTAGTTTAACTATGTTTATTTTGCATATAACATTTGTAGTTTGCATTGATACAGATACTAAAGAGGCTGCTACACACATGTGTTATTGAACACCCTATTTACCTCTCAAATCATCTATCTGGTTATGTAATACTTACTTTCAAATGGTACTTCCATGGTAATAAATTCCCACAAAGTTATTCCAAAACTATAAAAAAAACAGTCACACAATGATTTATTTCTTCTGCAGGATATAAATGACTTATTGATATATTGATCAAATCAATGGCGAATTAATTATGTCAAGGTCAACTAGGGTCATAAAAATCTCATTGATATCTAAATCAGATGAGAATGCTAGAAACGATTATATTATATTGATATATATATATATATATATAAATACCGCTATTGTGAATGACTGGAAGAGAGATAAACCAAACACGAGACTTGATGGTTGAAATAGCTCCACTTTCCAACAAGAACATTGTGGTAGCCATATCAAGCAATACACACCCATAAGACAAAACACAATTAACCCACAAAAAAGTTGATTCTGGTTGTTAAAAACATTCCAACCAACCTAATATCCTCAAACTGTTCAGGCACAAAAATAATGTACACCTTAAATATCAAAGCAATCTGGCTGATAGTTTTTCAAAAAGAAGTGGAAAGTATTATAGTTTTTCACCAAAAATGACATAAATATTTACTAAAAATAGAAATTTAATAATATCATCACGAAATGATCTGATAGGGGGGTCCACCTACATATAACATATCAAAGCAATCTGGATGGTAATTTTACTATGATGCATGATTGCCTTGAAATACATCTAAAACTAGTGCATTTTCAATATTTTTGAACTTATATTTGAACCTATAATGTTACATTGAACAATTAACGTGCACATAATTATAGTCACATTTGGGAATGGCATATACCAATGATTGTTGTCATGGGGCAGTCTAAAATAAACAAGGTGTCAACTGACTTTGAGCATTAATTGGCTCTTTGCCAAAAACAAAGTAAAATAGCACGAGACAGAATAGGTTAATTGTCAATATCAGTCAAACCACAAAGTAACCAACACTGGCAATACTACACACAAAAATTTTTTACGATATCTCTGGATTCAGCATGTGCCATTGTATGTGCCATTGTTATTTGTTGACTCCAGGTCAAATAAACAAATACCAGGGTTAAAAAACAACACTAAGTCAAATTATTGTAGATTGAATAATCAAAATATTGACCCAACTGAAAAATAGGATATCACGGTTGCTCATATGATAAGAGGATTTATTACCTGTAAACATCAAACTCATAAGTCGGTTTTTTGTTGATATCTTCCAGACTCTCTGGTGCTATATGACTTATAGTGCCAATTAGTTCATATGACGATTTTTTGCGATATCGCGTAGAACATCTATTCCATATGGCCAAACCAAAATCAGACACCTGTAATTCCATAGATAAAAGGACTTACTGTTTTCTATAATGCACGCCAAATAGTTTTGTAAGTGTATATACCGTTTAATTTTCATCACTGTTTTCATGATTTGATAGAAGGCTTTCCTGATGATGAAATTTTGTGAAGTCACTGACTCCCTAGGACCCTAGCAAAATTCACTGCGACTCCCAATGATTCAAATGAAATTCACTGTGACTCCCTAGGAGCCAAGTGAAAGTTATTGTGACACTTTAGAACTCGGGTGAACATCACTGTGACTCCTTAAAACCTACTGTAAAATACTTTACTGTTTTCGTTCAGAATTTATCTTCAGTGTAAATTAAGTGTATGGAATAAACCTTATTCTATGTTTTACATTCATCATGTCAAAAAATCAGTGAAAATAAATCCACACAAGACACCCAAACAGTTTTTTCAGCAAAAATTAATTCCAGCTAAAATAAAGTATTTTATAGTAAGTTAAAGTCACTGACTCCTTGGGACACCAGTGAAAGTCACTGCAAATCTTTAGGACCTAGTGAAAGTTACTGTGACTACAATGTACTTCGGACTGCAGTGAAAGTTACGGAATCCTTAGAACCCCAGTGAAAGCCACCGACTCCTTAGGACCCTGGTGAAAGTCATTGTGACTCCCTAGAACCCTAATAAAAGTCACTGACTCCTTAGGACCACAATGAAAGTTGTTGTGACTCGCTCTCCTGTTGACCTAGTGAAGCGTCTAGTACAAATATGAACTAAATATAAACTGTCTTGACCATATGCTCCGAAGCACATACCAGATAAATTACACCAAATGGCTGGATACTAATAGAGAACAGTACACAAATTATTTTGTTATATTTTTAGCTTTTTCTGCTTTCATTTCCATGTTCTCATTGATATTTTGGGAGTGACCTAAGATTTAAAATATTCTGAATTTCAATTTATTTAAATTATTGCTATTACATTTGCACATTAACTGACCTTTGTTTGGAAACGTCTATTAACAAGCACATTTTCAATTTTCAAGTCTCTATGTACAATTTCTGCTGTGGTGTGGAGATAGTTCATCCCGAGTATAATGCTGTGCACCATGTCGACTTTCATTGCCCATGCAACATCATAATTTTCTAGGAATTGCTTCACAGATCCATGATGCATCAATTCCATTACTAAGCCAAAACTGCAAGGTTCCTTGATAATGCCGTAGTGTAAAACTATATGCTTGCAACGTAAAGAAGATAATAAAGTGGCTTCTTTTTCAAGTGACCGTTTGTCCCTGGAAAACCAATGATGACAAATTTATAGGCATTAGCAACATGCATACATGTAGGTTAACATTCTTAAAGTTGTC